AGGTAATGCGGTTGGTTTAGGACAATGAAATCATGCATCTGTGATACTCTGACCAAATTCGTTTAGAACAATTACTTATAGACCCTACCCTTTGAAAAATGTGGCAGTTTATGAATGGTTAAAACGATGAACTGGACTGACGATCAACCCAGGCACACACAAACTAGTACTTCCTTGCACAAGCTCGTCTGGGCAACGATCTAGGCTTTTGGTTGTCAATTCTATGGTCTTTTGACTGTAGATGTTTCTTGAATTCGGAATGGGTAATAATTTTGGGCTTAACTGTAAATTATAGTGACGATGTACCCTTCGTGCGCTACTGTGCTCGTTAAGTATGCTGGACATACGCTTGCGCATTTCGGACATAACTCCACATTGAGGTCAATAATGTGTTGCTAATCAAGTCCAATTATTTCTCGTGGCGTTTCATTTCATTCGAATGTAATACCTTGGCTACATCAGAATATAAGGACATCTATCCATTTGCTGAAGGCCTCTCAGATCAAACCGCATTCAAGCAATTAGGCTCCGCAAGGTGAACACAGCAAGATCACCCCACGTATTTGGCCACGTCCATGCATCAATCGTATTAATTTGGTGCACACGTCTGATGTTGAGTTCCCTGGAAAGAGAATATTCTCAAATGTCACTTTTCGATGGAACTGTTCATTCTTTTGTTTGCCTTCTACTCTCTCAACTGAGGCATCACCGCCCCCGATGTAAGAGTGTGAGCTAAAGGAGGAGAAGAAATTTCATTGCCGGAATAGCTCGATTGTCAGGATTGAATGCTTCGGAGCGACTCTTGTCAAAAGATACAAACATATTTCTGTTGCTTAAAGTACCCAAATTTCCCAAACCGTCAACAAACATACACATGAAGCTTTACCTGAATGTTTATGGCCTACTGGCAGTTTTCAAATGGGACTCTCCTGACATGTAGCGGGCATATGTAAATGCGTTTTGACATATTATTTCTCCTCGTATATGTTCTCTTAATTCTCATTTTTGTTGACGTCAAACGCTTTCAGTGAGCACTGAACAGTGTCTGGTGTATCTTTTACGACACACCTCCTCGCCTCTTTCATGGGCGATGCAACTGTACGACGCGACGGCACGATGGCTCCCTTGGAAAGTGTAGTCGCGTCGTGCATATAGTGGCATTGTTCTTTTGTATACCCACTATGCGAAGCGCTTCACGTCGTCCCGTCGCCCACTGCGTTGTGTTGTCTTATTTTCCTTTCTATTTTGCATTTTTTCTGCCTTAACGTCACTCCTTCCGTACATCGTCGTGTCGGAACGTCTAGCGTCGCGTATTACATCGTCTGAAACACGACGCAACGCAAGACAAGAAGCTTCGAGTGTGTACAAAGATAATTACAACGAAGCGACCCAAGGGAGCCGTCGATGTCTCGCGTCATACAGTTACGTCACCGATGGAGAAATAATGAGGTGTCGTAAATAATACACCATAGAACTGGACTAGTAACCTTTTCAGTGTTTCAGCATCAGGCAAATGCACAAAGCATGGTTACCCAGTTCATGACAGTTCCTATGTTCCAAAAAGCAAATAAAGTCCACGCGTCTGAGGGCTGAGGGAAAAGATGTTATTATTGTCTTGGTGTGTTGTCATATGGTAAATTTCACTTTCTATAAATGAATATTTTGACCAATCCATGATTTGGGGCAAGTTGCATTTGTAACGACAGAACTATAAATACCAGCTGAAAGTGTTTACTATCGCCGAGCAGAATACATCCAAAAGTCTCAACTGTTGGTTTAGTCATAGGTAAATACTCGAACCTCATCTCAACAGTGCTTCATACGTGGAGCTGCGCAATCGTGCGAGACTTGTGTGTACACCCATGGGCTGTCCGCTCTGCGGTCAATTTAAGATCTTCCCCCGTCAAAATGTGAAAGCCTCGGATTAAGAAACAAACATGACTGAGAGGATTTTCCATCATAGTTTCTAACCTACTTCAGGGACGTATCCTCAGCTGTAAACTAACTGGTCTTGTTTCTACCTTGCACTTTCAAATTACAGATCAATACTATTACTGTTTAACCGTTGAATTTTCGGTGATGTTGGAAATGTCATAACAACCTCCTCATTCACATGATATTAAAATGAGTTTGATTAACAAACATGTTTTATAATTAATCGCTGGCAGCAATTTTTTTTAATTTGGGCAAAGATTGATGCCCGTTTCTGACCATAAACTACCGTGTTGATTGCGAGTGTTTGTCTTGCAAAGCAAACGAACAAACAAAGAGTGCCTCATAAAAGTCTGTTTATTTATTAACAAAATACATCTGCAAATAAGAATGATTTGGAATATCCTTCTTTTCTTTCTACATGAAAATCTGTAATTTTTATCTCACACTTGGACTGGCAACAGTAACCACTGTTCCATGGGTACCAGTTAAAAATCAAAAGGCAAAAGCTTTTAAAATATTTCACGCAGCTGTCAAAACGGTCAATAATGAATCCATCTACTTAATACTAAAGGAAAATAAGGCCTTCTCGTAAAGGCAATGGGGCAAATGTAAATTTCAAGACAGCACCTGACTCTACTATTTCTGCCAATTTTGACTGTCCATAGGCATATACGAGACAGGTGTATCTTGGCTGACATCCACCTCTTTAATATTAAAGGAAAATCTATTGCCATATTCAGAAACCTGTAAACATGGAGCATTTTCCCACTGGATTTTCTTTGCTCTTCCATCAATCGCTTTTTTGGCCCTTGGGACTGCTCCATGGAATTCATGAATAGGCCAAATAGAATCGTAAATGCATTTATATGACACGGATTTTTTTTTCTGACTGCAGAAAACAAAGTTTTAGAAATTTACTTTATTTAGAGAGAGTTTTCTCGAGCTAATCACTGGATAAACAAATTCCAGCATTATGGTGACATTTCCAAAGCTTATGAAAGAGTGAATTCAGTTCTTTCTACAGAAAAGTAATTACTTTTAGTGTATAATTCATCATCCAATATTGACTTCTGATTTCTAGTTGCGTGGTTGCAGTTTGTGCACAAACCCATGGCACACTCAATTTAAACTAAAAAGTGAAATATACATGTATACGCGTTATCTGGAACAACGTTGCAAAGGTGTTCTAGCAGCGTATACATTATTGTGCATTATTCAAAATATTTGATATCATTGGCGGGCATGTCCATTGCGAACACAGTGGTACTGGTCTGACAAAATCATAATGCTGGGAATACAGCATTTGCCTCCGTATGTTCAGGGTGCTAAATTTAATTTTCAACTAGTTCTTCGTATTAAGTCAAAAAGAAGTTAATTTTCAAAGTTATGTAAAACATTATATCGCGTCCGCAGAAGTAGAATTTTTTTTCGGTATGCCCGACAGCATTGGGAAAAAATTGTATTAAAAAAAGTAATTATGAAAAGCACCAGCTTAACAGAATTTTAAATTAGGAGGTTTTAGTGAAGGGTTTTATGAGTCCCCCTATAAACATTCACCGACAAAATCAAGTACCTGAGCCAAAACAGAAATTACCAGATATAGTAACGGGGGTCTGTTATTATCAGACCGAGGCTGATGTTGACCGCAGGAACACCTCCAGCACTCATGGTATGCTGTCCTGTCGTTTACTCAAACTTTTCCCATGCATTGTGTCGAGGCAATGTAACAAATGTTTGCTGAACCCCTGTTGACACTCAGTACAGCATAAAGCTTTCAGAATTTGCTTGGAACTGGGCAAGCACTTTTCTGTGGTCACTTGGTGATGGGCGTTAACGGTATTGATTTTCAGTGACGTTAATAGCTCTCGATACTCTAATGCGCGTGGCTTGTATGCGTGGATCAAGGCTGTCGTGTGATTCAGATAGGACCTGATCGGGGTGTATGCTTGCAAATGTACTTGCAGGAAGCTTAGAACTTTATAAGTCAAGACTGGTGACGAGCACTATGAACTGACGTCTAGCGTTTGTTTTGATTTACATGTCCTGTATTTATATTACATGTCATGTTCCCACTTCAGCAAAACACTTACAACGTGTTTATCTAATCCCAAAATACTCCAGTGCGACTTCAATTTTTTTCCTTTCTGCAGGTTGCTGCTCTGTTGAAGAATTGTTTTGTACTTGGTGATATTCACAAACTTTTTGAATCCTCGAATAGAGTGGGGTTTTGTATCATCCATTCACGTCACCTGTATGGGAAATGCCACGTTCCGAGAAAATAGACGGGAACTGTATGCTGATGATCCAGTCCGCGCTTTCCTATATTCAGCTCGCAAATAAAATCGCGCAATGCAAAATACATCATCAATCCTGGTCAAATAGCCAAGGTACTGAAATATCATGCCGATACAAACGCACTACCCTGTTGAACCTATTTAGCAATCGAGAATTGAAAGGCATAACAAAACAGAACCAAACAGGACAGCATGTGTCATGACAACCAAAGCAAAAAGTATAAATCGTAAGGCCCGGTTTATACTGTGGGCAAATCTGAAAGTGAAGCGAATTTGACGTCACGAAAAATTTGCGGCGAAAATTCACTGAGTTGAAAACTTTTACAAATGGGCAACTCGAATACTTCATCTGCCCTCATTTTCGCTTTCGCACGAAGTATGAACCGGCCTTAACATTTGCATAATATATCTACCAAATGAGATCATGGTTATGGGTATGGTTACGTTTTCACAAGGCAAGATTTCACACCTTAAATCTGACTACTTTAATGACGGCGATACTTTACTTTACGAATCGGCTGCGGTCTAGGTTGAACTTTACGACAGACACCTAGGTTATGAACGAGATTATACATGTACATAAGCCTTATCGCTTATGGCTGATTTATTACAACTGTGGAAAGGCATTGTGGGAAGGGAAAAGGGGCAATATTTGCCCCCTTTCCTTTCCATGATGCTTTTATACTATTGTGCAAAACCACTCTTGCAGCATAAGCGATAAAGCTTAGAGGCCACTAGATATTTTTTAAGTGACTTACTCCTAAACCTTACCGATTGTGGTGATGACAGTAGTAGCAAAGAACAGCGAGTTTGGGAAGTCCCAGAGATGATGGCCGTAATAATCTAAGGTGTCATCTCCCACAGCGGGCTTGAGCCCGTTGTCTATAGAATGCACCAGCTCGTCTACGAGTGTAACTAGCTCAGAAGAGTTAATGCAGGAATTGTTGGCCAGGAACTCCGCCACGAAGTCCCGAATTCTGTCCTGAAGGTTCTCCTCGTTCCCCCCTTCAAGGTACCGGAAGACTAGGGCGCCTGTGACGATGTAGATGACATAGACCACGAGAAGCAGCACCAGGCGCTTGACCGAAGCCCCCTGGTGCCGGCGGGAGAAGCCAGTCAGGGCAGCGACGGACGAGGTGCTTCGTATGGACGCTGTGGTATCCAGCTGAGCGCGGAACATCTTGTCGACTTGCCCACTTTTGTCTTAAACCCTTCAGTGATGTGTCTGTGGTAATATATTTCGATAAACCCGCTCTCTCAGACGATATGCCAAGGTCCGACTAGTATTCCATGATAAGTACTGTTGCTTTAATCTCTCGGGGGGACTTCGGCTTGGTTCATCTCACCATGGTCTCAAAGGTGTTTCCTAATATCCATCCGACAAACAGATAATTCCAAGCAGAATTTCTTTGTGCTCGCAATGCAGGTTAATCGAAACAATACTCAGGCTGATTTCTGACCACACAAATGTCAGTTTCCACCTCTCTGGATTATTGCTGCTATCATTGTCCAATCAAAACATGAAGCTACCGTGACTACAGAGCTGCGTGGCACTGTGACGATTGACAGAAGCGAAACCATTTTGACTAAAGCCAATTAGGTAAGACCGCTAGATCGATATATAATCACGACGAACAACGTGATCATGAAAACATATCGGTAATCAAAGCTTACACTTAACTTAATGGATGTGTATAGATCCGCAAGCATAGTGACACACTAGACGCGACAGTCGTTTGTGGCTGGTGGCATAACATTGTTACCCACCTTGTTAGTATATCGAAATCTTATATCCCTCTCGTACATGTAGGGCGCTACGGTAGACACTGCTGTCAGCTAATGACCTCAGTATATACAGTCATTGCGTCACCAAAGACGCACCAAATCCATTGGTGCCTTCATGATGGTCAAGCGGTCAATCCATCCACGAATTTATATACATGAACTGACTTCACCAAAACACAGACCGCTATTTTGTTCCGATGTGACCCTGAAACACAACTGCAGCCCTAAAAGCTCGTGACCACAAAAGAACCAGTCATTGCTTACCAAACAAATAACATTATGCAGGCCTGACGAGCGTGTGGTCTTTCCGCCCCACTGAATTCCTCAGCCTGGTGTGCCAGTGGATAAATGGAAGGGCGCGTTACGCTGTGTAATACGACCCTTACACGTCTACACTACAAGGGGGACTCCACCGACTTTGTAACTGTGCTACTCGGTCCTGGAAGCGTACGAACAAAACCCACTGGTGCGTTGACAGCGTTCATCTCCCTAACAGCTGGTGTGACTTACATGGCTTACTGTACGTCTTGCTGCAAAAAATTTCCATGCTCGAGAGCACACGAATCCCTACTCAGAGTCTTTAGCGGATCAAAGTTCTGCACTCTGCATAGGGGCCTTACTCCTTCAACTTTCAACGCCCGTCAGATGGCGCGCTCGCTCTTTGTTCTCAAGGAAATAATCGTTGAAAAGTGACCAAAGTTGCCGTCAGTTTGAACGTATTTAATTGATGAAGTATAGGAGGCTTGTTAAAGTAGGTTTATGCAGTTTTACCTCTGTGGCACACGATTTCACGTGAATATTATGTGTAATCTGACGCATAGTCTTGCAATGAAAATATTGTCTCTTGTACCATGGAACTGTCACCCCGACTAGGTCCAAGAGAGGGCGCAGTTTTCCTTACAATGCAACGTCGGCCACTGCGGTGGAAATTTGCTTGTCACCGAGCGCTCAATCTGAACAGGACGCTGGCTGGTTCGGTTTCGATTATGTACATGCCTTGCGCAACACCTGTCGCTACCAACAAGGTGGAACTTGAACACTCCCACTAAAAATGCCTCTTTTCAACCGACGACGGGGGTGCCTCCACTCAAAGCGAATTGGGAAGAACCTTGAAGTACATATGCATGTAGAGAATTATAAGATGTCTTTTGTGTGGATAGCAGGAGAACTCTCTTCACACTCCACTTCCCAGCATGCCTTACAACGTCTGCAACTTGAAAAAATCCTTTCAACATTCTCACTGCATTACGTGTCTGGATAACAAAATTTACATTTTATGCACAAAGCTATTAACGATCATGTGTACCAGTCCAACATTTTCTTCATAGTTCAACCCACAAATAGATACAGTTTGAAAGAAATTCTGAAACCTGGAAAGCAGAAGAAATCACCCTCAAAATTCTGATTCTGGCAGGTCAGTACAGTCTAGTGACAGGTAATGGGGAAATTTTCAGCAAAGAGCTGGTAACCCCAATAATAGTTTATAAAAGGGGTCAAGTTCAAGCAAATTGCTTATATTCATCCCTTTCATCATTTTTTCCATTTCTTTCGCACAGTTTTCTTTCCTCCTTTTATTTGGATTTTTTCCGGGGGAGGAGCAAGTATCCCATTTTCTCTGTGCCTTGCGACGCCCACGGGGAGCCAGAGCTAGTCTTGAAAATCCAGTGTGTGCAGATCCGTGTGTCAGTGAAGAACGTGTACTGGCTTTGTTTTCGCTCGGAGGGGAAGGCCTTGCACAGATTTTAGTGAAGGAAATACGTCACATGGGTCACAGCTAACACCGAGCAGAGCATTGTGGTATATTCCTGCCAGGCGCGCGAGCTCCGCGCTCAATGCGTTACACAAGTGGCGGTTATCGATTCGATATTTTTCTTTTCCATCCTAATTGCTGAAAATATTCTCACTACACTTTATTCGTTCATCCAAATTGATCAAGATAAGCAATGATTTGAAATATATCGCCAAAAGACACGTGATCAGTAATACTAAGTGAGAAGACAAATTACCACACTGTGATTACACCAAGGTCATGTTTTTATCATTTAGTCGGCCCTTTGCCCGTGCTAAGGCATTGTCATCGGCAAATAAAAAAATTTAGATTACACTTTGCTAACAGGAAGTGATAACCTCGCGGTTACAGGTTGTACTCAATGTAGCCAATAACAGTGTAAAGCCATCAGCCCTCCCCGGCGCCCTGTTGGGGCGCTAGGCGACGAGCGACTGGCTTTTTGACATAGCGCCCTCTTGGCTCCATTCCGTCAATTTCAAACGAGCACCTTTTGTTCAGGCTGTATGCCTACTTTCGTTCACTTCACTTATTCGCGCCGTCGTTTGGCAGAGAATAAGGCAAACACAGGGCTGAGGTAAGTATCCGGTCTCTCGCAGAAACCCTGGGATATTCCAAAAATGATGCGCATAATCACAGATGTCATTATCAAATAGGCAATAACGAGGTTACAAGAGACAGAACGAATGATGTTATTTTAATTATCATTTGAAATTCAGTGGATATTTTGCCGTCGCTGGCAAAGAGTACAAAACGACATTTTACTGGTAGCCCTGTTCTGATTGGTCCATCTTTATGACGTCACTGTTGCCGACAATACCTGTCGACAGCTATTTATCCAGTCTGGTAATAACGACGACACTAGTGGAGCTCTCTGTCAGAAAAGACAGTGACTGACACTGGTGCCCGATTCACGGTGTATTCTCACGATATGAACTTGATCGTGGCTCACCACGATGCCAAAATTTTGTGTTGAAAATTTTCAAATTTCCTGACATCTTTTCCCGCGCCTTTCAAAATGATTTCAGAAAATCTAACATTGACATTTACGAAGTTCTTAAAAGTCGATAAATTCTAGATAAATCATTATTTTCACTCGCATACCTAACTTCAGGTATAAAGAAAAAGATTCTGTTTCGTAAATGGGGACATTTTAAGAGAGTTCATTTCGAAAAAAAGGAAAAAATGAGAAGTGGGGCTGGAGTAATATTTCATAGGAACTTTGAAAGAGAAACAGAAAGATTTATTCTCAGGAATATTGGAGCTTGTCAAATTTCACTTATTGGGAAACTAATTGAGGCAAACATATTCTTCTTACTACAGACGAAAAATAAAAATGGACCACGTTGGAGGCCGCGCAAAGTTAGGGCCATGGATCTCCATTATATAGACTGGATAGGACATCGCGTCCAAAACGTGTCCCGTGTATGCGTATTTTCAGGAGTGTAAATAACAATGGAGCTTTTCAAAAAACGGTTTAGGTTTTTGTGCTTCAATCGTCAGATTTCGAAGAAAAACTGAATTCTGCACCAAGAATGGATAAATTTGGAAAGAATAATGGTTGAGGTTTAAGCAGCAGGGAATTACTGGAGATCAACGTCAAGTTTGGAAGAAGGAACAGAAGGAAATGTGAGTCGCACTTTTTTTAGTTTCAGAAAGTTTCTCAATCTGTACTTTATTTAGCTTAACTTTAAGCCTATATAGGCCTAGTAAGAAATGTATGACAGTCTATCTAGCCTATCAGGCTTTGTATATGAAACTTCACAATCTCGAAGCTGGCACCGTGTAAAATGTTACTTATTGGCAAAAGTGGTTTCAAAAACTGAATGACTTATTTGTGGGTTATTCTCCCCAGATTTCACTGGAAAAGTTTCCAAGACAGCCATGATTTGTGTTTGTTGGATCTAAAGACGCACTGAACCCAAATCGTGGGTTCAGACGATGTGATATGAGTGACAGAATTCTTCTTTGGGACAGAGATGAAACCAAAGTGACAAGCAGAGTGCTGACGTTTCTGTCGAGTGAAGTTACAAACAAGGCAATTCAAAGTCAACGCAATGAAAGAAACTTAGTTTATGTAACAAAATTATTTGTTCTCAGTTAAAACTGACTTTTTTATGCCGAAAAGTAGTAGCATTTTTAAGTCAGGTTGGGAACTCAACTTTTTAAGATGATTAATAAGTGTTTGTTTTAAAAACGGTAGGAAGTTAGTTTAGTCGCTTATTTAAGGCTGCGCTCACTTTGTGCTCACAAAAAAGATTCTCACACTTCCGTATGCTGCATGTCGGCTTTCAATCAAATTTACTCAATATATGAATGAATTTTATTCAGTCCCATTTTTCCTGAGAGTGTAACTAATTTAAAATCCTTTTATTCATTAATTTTCTGTGTTGGCTCATCGAAACCAGACGGAAAAAACACATAGACAGTTTAGACATCATATTTACCGACAAAACCTACTGCATGTCCTGGTGGAATTCTCAAAGTTTACACACTGAACAAATTACGATTGAATCGACCCAAAGTGAAAATATTGCTAAAGCGAGACCGCAGACAAAAGGTGTAAAAAATAAATTAAAAATAAACACACACAGAAACACGTTAACATTATCGCTTTCGAGTGGGTTAGTTAATAAGAAAATGGTCAGTTATTTCCGGAAAGGATATTCTTGCATGTTCTGTTTATTTTCGGCTTGTTTTCGGGAGGGAGGCTGAGGACTTAGTCGTGCATCATCCCATGAGAAAAAGGTTATGATGACCAGAAATGCACAGCATACAGCAACACACTGTCCTCCTGAAGCGCCACCATTGTTCGGCCGCACATTTTGTACACAATGCGCGATTGGTCGATCCTGCTTGAAATCTCCAACTGAACTTCCCTTTCTTTGAAACAATCTTTCTCAACAGTAAATTAGAAAGGAATTTTAGGAATTATCGACAAATGGTGCAACAAGATCGAGCAGAGATTTCTTGTGGAATTTGTGTGCGTGTGGAGGGTGTTGCATGTATGATACATACCCAATCTACGTGTATCAGATCTGTGTGCAGGCGTGGCATACAAAGTGTGGACCTCTGCACAAAAGAAGTCCACAAAATGTAGGGTATGATGGCGTTGTGTGGACTCGCACACGTCACACACAATGTTTCCCCCCTCTGAAGAATAGTTTCAGTGGCATTTCGGGGTCAATGTTATGTGTAGCAAAATGAAGAGGAATAGTCCTGGAAATCATCATCAAAATTCCCTCACGAAGGAGTTATCCTAATTGGAGGAAAGGAGCATTTTCCTCAAGTTTCCTTAACCACAGGAGAACAAATTAATGTCCACACTTTGTAAGTGAAACAGGTATGGGTGTATGACCCACGTTTGAACCAGGCCACAGTGAATGACCGCATTGTAGTCCAGACTAGCGGTACGTTCAGGAAGTTTCTTGTAAGATTAAGTAATGCTAAAGAAGTCTATTTTAAGAAACTTACGTAATGAAAAGAAATTTCTGGAAGAGTTGTAGGCTATAAGGGGTGGGCTCTGGAGAGACAGAGGGAGAGAGGGGGAGAGAAAGGGAGACATACACGCACACACACACATATACATGTAGACACTGCAGATGGAGGGTATATTTCCCAAATTATCAGACGGAGGACTTTTCGTCCATGTGAGTGCAGTCTATAACACCAAAGTCATCACACACAAGTTCTTGGTTGTTTGAGCCAGCAAAATTAGGTTGCGTTATTGGCGTACAAGAGAATGGCTGGTGCGACATGTCACAGCTTATCTACAGCTTCATTGTGTTACGACAAAGTCTGTGATATTCCTCCAAGTTCGGGTCTGCAGTGCCACGGTGCAAGCTGCTTCGATGTCTGGCCTGCTTGCCAGAAACTTTCCTCATCTGGAAAAATCTGCGCAGGCCCTCTTGGGCGTTTGTCTTCTCTGCTGTAGTCCGGGGACGGCTCTTCACTCGTCTCGATGGCGGAGAGGGCTCCCTTCTGCGTGAAGCAACATCACCAGGAAGCTGTCTATTGAATGTAGAGGCACAAAAAGGGCATTAGAAATGTAGGTGACAGCTCAGCAGACAGCCCGCTCGTGTGACAGACAGAGACAGACAGCCTGACAGCCCGCCCGACAGAGAGAGTTGCCAAATCTTATTCTTTTCGACGGATTCATCGCAGGAGTCTTCACTGGCTGTAGGCCTAACTGCTTTCCCCACTGTCGCTGCTGTCCTCTTCACTGGTGAAGCCTTCTGCTAGTAAACAAAAAACACTGCAATCAATTAGTACACATACATGTAGGGGTATCTGGCAGTCTCTGCTTGGCGTTGGGGTGGGAGAATGAGGGGGGGAGGTGGATGGCAAAAATGGAACATTATTTTTGGAGTTCTTTGGGCCCGATACATTTATTAGGGTGATTTTTGGTCTCTCCTTTCTTTGTACTGGTCTGTTCTTCCTTTTATGGGGGGGGGGCGGTGTGACTAGGAAGAAAATGTTTCCGGCAAGGTATGATGCCCTACAAAGTGTGAGTCTGAGTTTGGTTGACTTGGTTTGAAGTCAAGCGTTGGGTAGACGGAACATGGGAAACATTGTTTGAGTATAGGGTGCCCTTACCTCCAGTTACATGCATGTCATCCAAGGATTTACCCTGCTGTGAAGGCAGGTTGCCCCTCTCCAAACTCGGGAAAAGTCTTTAATGCAAGAATTTGAGATGCAGTTGCTACATGTTTACGAAGTTTGGTGGACCGGATGCTGGATGCATTGTCAAGGCCAGCCTTATCTGCATATGCCCTTAAACAGTCACTCCTTCGTATGTGGCCTCTCCCGCCATAACAACACCGTGCGAACAAGAAGTTGTTGTCTTGGGCTACTCCAGCTTCATGTCTCTTGGCGACCAGAGGCCCACAGGCATGATGGCAAGGTGACGCTGTGATGCTTTTGGACAGTTTTTGGGGCTTTTATATATGTTGGGGTTATGCGTTCCCAGCACTTGGCAACGTTTATTGTGCTCACCGATCCGGACCAGCCCATCGGCCTGCCGGACACCGGGCCAGCGGAGCAAGAGAGCTAAAGAGGGCGCTATTCCACCCAGGGATGCGCCGGAACTGTCCATTTACAGCGGGTGTTTTTAAACACCCGGCGTGTTGAATGAGTACATCGAGAACGGATTCCAAACGCCTTGAAATTTAGCTGACCATCATAACTGCTGACTGGCCTCAAATTTCACCTTATTGCGAACTGAGGACGTCCTCGATTTACAATCTGACCTCTATTCGTTTGCTGTGTTAATACACAGAAGAGCTCCGTCTGCATCTTTCAGAAGTACATGTACACATACAAAGACAGATTTTGGAAGGCAATTCTACTGTATGCGGGCTGTAGGAAGTCTTTTACTTGTTGACCTACTTCACCATTTCAACCTGTGGTGGCGGGTCGTCTGTGGAGCGACACTTGTAAGAAAGGTTCGTCTAGACCAAGTGAAGTGAAGAGCTGAATTTTATTCCGGAGTGTGTGAACTGAATCCAGTTCCTGTTTGTAGGATCACTAAGTCCCGTATTTGCGACGGTCATCACACCCTCGCCGTTTCGTCTTGTGCCCGGTAATTCTTATTGGACGTAGTCTTCGTCCCCGTCTAGCATTCTTCACCGTTGTTGACTGCCAAGCCCTCGCCAGTAAGATCATCTTGTTTATGTAAAATATTTTCTCGATTCTGTATCCTTATTGTAAACTAGCTCCAATCAGCATTTTCTTTGTTACTTTGCTAAGTGTAACATTCTCATTAATCATAATTGTTTATTTGTTCCTTATATCAGTGTGATCTTGTTTGATTTCTTTGTTGAATCGGATAAAATTCAAGCTTTAGAGTAACTGCCACTCTTAAATAGTTTGGAGTTTTTGGATCGGAACAAGGGGTGGTTTCTGAAAGGTCATCCTTGTGTGGAGCGTGACAGCGCAGGGTCCAACGTCCCATATCAGTCAGGGGCACGGACGTATACAAAAAACCTGGACTCGCAAAGCTTGGTGCGCATAAAATTAGTGACTTGAAAAGTGGGGAGGATGGTTATATTTGGTAACCCCCCCCCCCCAAAAAAAGAAAACCAGTGTGGGGGATATACCCCCGACCCCGGGATCTCCTGCCGTGGATTTATCCCACAATAAATACTAGCTCCAAGTGTATGTGATGAGTTTAAAGGATATTAGAATAATTGTTATTTATTTTTTCATACCCAGTGCCACGATTTGTGGCAGTTTGCCCTTACACACCGCGATATCCAACGGAAATCATCACAGTCCCTTTCAGATGAAAACTATTTTGAAAGGTCAGCATTGCATTGTGGGTAAGATATGGCCCTGATCCTGTGCGCATGAGTCTTGTGCACGTATCAGTGCTCCTGGTTACCACAAACACAACAATCTATCCAATGGAACTCCAATAAAGGGACCACAAGCGGCCTTGAATAGTACGGCGGGCAGATTGTGACAGATATGTAGGAGGTTATCTCAAATCCTCAAGAGGGCGCACTTACATACGCGTCGTTGTCTAGAATGGAATCTTTTATTATTATCTTTGCCAGGTCTCCACCTGTGCGTCATTAATTTAACTGTGTATATGTATGCATTGTAACTGGTTTCTCTGCCATTGGTGGTGTGCTACACGCAGCCAGCCCTTTCCACTAAAAATACCAGCATCATGATGATTAAAGCCTTCAGAGATAAATTAATGTATCCCTAAAAAATACATATTAAACATAAAGAAAACCGAATTGGCGTACAGTTAACTTGAAGTAAGAGGGATTGGACCAGATGCGGTTTTACGGGGGAGGGGAGTAAAAGGGCTTTAGCCCCCGAACATTTGTCTAGCCCCCCCATGCAAAAATAAGTACGTAGCGAAGCTTAAAAGGTGACGTAGCATGTGAAGGGTCTTGTCCCCAGCTCTACAACTGCGCCTGGATTGGTCTGTTTTTGACGCTGAGAGCCACAGTAAGACAGTTTCTCTGAGGTTTTACCCCTCAAAATAACTGCTTGGGGGTGGATCAACTGACAACATGGAGTTAATCTCTTAATCACGTAGGAGGGGAGGGAATGGACCGAAGCGATGCATCTGTGCCGTCGATGTGAACATGCTCCCTCAATTTTCCAATTAAAAAAAATAAACGCTTCAAAGTAGCTATATAAATCTTGTTGAAGAAAAAAATAAATGAAATGACTGCTGGGCCAATGGACGACTCAAGTTTCCATTTTCTGATAAATTAATCAGTTTGCATAAGGCCTGTAATTCAGTATAATTTCACCATTGGCTTGTTGCTAATGCGTTTTACGTTATACGATACACTGATGCGGGGTTGATGGTGATTTATGGTGGTAAAATGGCCAGTTCCATTATTCACGACAATGAATAATTTATCTCAGCATTAACTCCGACCGGACAAAACGGTGGAGGCATGGCTTGTTTAAATTCTGACACTTGCTGTCAAGCCTCAGATGTGGACGGACGCTGCTCACGGAAAAAAGGGGCGCTGATTGTCGCTGAGAGAACGGACAGCGGATTCGCTAGTAGCTGTTGTCGGGGAAAGCCACCGCGCAAGATTGTGTTTGTTGAGGAGTCGAATTTGGCATTGCCGAGACTTGGCTGCTTTCTCTACCGCCGCGAGACCCGAGTTGAGCGCATAATGCGCGAAGCGGACTGATCGGCCCGGTGAGTGGGTGTGCAGATTTCGTCGGTGTGAGGGTTGCCAGGGCTGGGTTTGAAGCAACCTTGGCTCGATGCGCCGTCCAGCTTCGCTCCAGACAGCTCAGAGGATGCACCCGTCAATAACAGACAGGTGATTACAGTCCTCCCCCCAAAAATCATGATCGCACACGGGGAGACAACTCACACACAAGGCTCGGTATTTGCTGCGGGCATTCAACGCTAAGATGACGAGGCATAGACCGGCGATGCAATGACGAACAATGAGCAGACTGCCTCCTCGCCTCTCGAGGTAAGACCACCATTTACTGCCCTACTAAACGCTTCCTTTTTCTCCCCCTAAAAGCCTGTATTCCCATTTTGCAATTCCCCACACGTTTCGGCGCCAGGCGGCTTTCTGATCAAAATGATACTGTCATTTCGATTAAAATACTGCCACGCACGCACGTGTGTTTATCGTACGCTCTGTTATTTCATGCCAACAGTAGTCGGTACCCAATAAAGGCGCATATTGCATCACTGATGTTGGAACGTTGTCATTCTGATTGTACTTGCACTTCAAACTGTAACCTCGTTTTCAGGAGCACTAAAATATAATCTTAATGTATTCGTGGATGTTGGCAAGTACATCCTTTTTATAGATTCCAAATTTTAGGCTTAAAATAACCACATGGATTTCTTGTGGTCTTTTTCTGGAGCTGGCCGATCTAACAGTTCACTCATTCTCTGTTGTCGTAACCTACACAGTAAACTGCGGACAGCGAAATGCATAATGGAGACTTATTAGGCAGGTAAACAGTTTGTGTTTCATGAAAAAGTGGCCTTAAAGCTCATCTGCTCAAAATTGTACAAGCCTCATTTAAGTTTATCGATCTTTTAAAAATTGGCGAAATGCAAAACCGAGCGTCCCCATAAACAACATTCGAAGCCGACTGTCGAAGTCATTTTGTCGGTGAATAGTTCCTCTGCTGTGCAATTTAGCTGTTTGTCTAAGTGTCATGCACTGTGCAAATTTTCTAGGTCTACTCCTTTCGCTATTCCCTACTGGCTGGATTCAGCCGTGCCCGTCGTCAACACACGAGACAAACTGGGACTTCTCGAAACGTGTTAGTAATCATGTACCAGGGAGTCATTTATTTCAAACAAACAGCATCAGACAGCAGGACGTTTACCAGACAAGAAAAGAATTCACACTTTGCAACTGAGGAGGCATCTGATGATTTTGGTGAATAGAGCAGGGAGGCTAAACTCGTTGAATAATAAAAAGATAACATTAGAAATTGAAGATCTCGCGTGATATTAATTAGGTCATTTTTCTGTTGTAGGCACAAAGAGTGATCTTAAAACGTCAATTATCTTGTCTTTATTGTAATCTCCTATTTTCCCCACAAGTTTTTAATGTGAAAGTGTTTCCTTGAAGTCTTATACTGTATCACATAATATATTGAATTCTAAATTTCCAAAAACCTTAAGCGAGTGGTGGATTTGAGCCGCATGTTAATTAAATCATGCATTTAATCTTGACCCTGAAGGTTGCCTCACACCTTTGTGAAAAATCTGGGATTCGTTCTATCCTTAAAAGCACCCTGCAAGTTTTACACATTGTTACCTTAATTATTTTATTGCAAAAGCATATGTGTGCTGGGATGATGGTGATTACGATGTAGTACAATTATCCAAAACCTATTCGATCGATACTGAGGCCCATCTCCCCTTCCAAAAGTGGATGGATTTATACATCACACCCCTTGTGATCCGTGGTCTGGTGCTGCAGTGCTGTAAATTTCCACAGTTTTTGTTCCTAAACGTTCAGCTCTTTGTTTACATTTTGTCTTCTTATCCATTAGCGGGATTAAAAGTTTTCCATAATCTGCTTGCCCCTTTCCGCTGAGAAACTTCATCCCAGCTTAAAGCTTAATCTTTCTGCAAAAGTGTTGCAATCTCATCAACAGATCTTTCTGGAGGGCCCTTTTGATTTAGCGTTGTCTTTGTTTTTAAGAAGACAGTGCGATATTGCAATCCTCTGCAACTTGTTTTTGCCACTTCATGTTCAAAGTGCCATTTTACGGGGCGGTACATTTTCGGTTTGAAGAACCAAGACGCAGTAAACCGCCAGTGTATTTTCGAGGAGGTGCAAGGCCCACATGCATAAGGACATTCATAAGGGCATTCATAAGGAGAGACGGAATTTGTCGGTGATTCGGCCAGGTGGAACCAAAATCTTCAGGCGGACTTCTCATCAAATGTGACGTGAAATTGTCTGGATTAGTTATGAGTTGTTTGCCCAGGGGACCATTTGTTTTACGTTGTAAGCCAGACAATTGTCAGCTACTGAGTTTTCGAGTATGAAACTGCATTGTGGAATGCCTTGAGAATGAGCTTGTGTGAGAATTTCAAATGCAAGTTGAGACTTTTTACCGTTGTATTGGGTGTACATGTTGTGGTTTTTCAGCGCCGTACATACATGGTGATTTAAGTCACGAAGGCTTATTATTGGTTATGGTTTAGTTTCACCGAGGGGCACATTTCCCGGAGGTGGAGAAGATATATCCCCACATCCTCACATACATCCTTGTGCGGTTCCTCTTTTGTTCTCACTTTTTTTGGCCGAACTCCTAAACCCCTTGCGGGGCAGAGACTTGCTCCTTTTGGGGTCTCTTGTTTTTACCCGGGCGCTGGGTCCCTTATAAGATGTTCTTATCTCTGTAAATATTTTCATTCTGCCGTTTAACTTTTTGACTTAAACTTTTTTGTGAGAGTTCGCACAAAAAATTGGTACCGAAGTTTTATAATCATTGACGCTGGCCTGACATGGACCACAAAATTATTGTCCTTATTCTTTAACGTCCACGATGGAATACGAATCCAAGTACATTTTGGCCCTGTAGACTGCAGAATTGTACTTACGTATCCCTTAATGCGACTGGACGAACAGCTTTCAAATAAATTTTCGAATAACAAAGGGGAAAAAAGCAACAGGTTGCTGAATTCAGCTCTAGAAGTAGTGACAGTAAATGACGTCTAGACAACCGGTTAATTTAGTAACATCACCATAGGGTTTGCCAAACAATCAATTCCTTTGCATAGGATTAATACGAATTCAGCCAATTTAAAGTGACATTATTCAAACAAGGCAGGAAAAAAAAGCATAAAAAACGACAGCAAAACAGAACAACGCTAAATAAAATTGAGGGTCGGTAAAGAAGTGATCAGATATCGTTAAATTGATTTGATTTCGACTTTCCAAGGGAGTTTAGATGGTCATTTTACTGGCCAGAGTGGACATCGAGTTTAATGGTTACTTCTAGTCTGTATGGCGAAGCAGGGATTCTCTAGGGCTGGCTGGCGACGGGAAGAGTTGACTACAGCTTAATGAGTGCTATATTAAATGACAGTCCGGCCGACTTGTGCCCATTGGAAAAAAAGAGCTGCTGTAAGCGGTAGACATGTTTCAGTCACATGATTCAAAAGATATTTTTGTCTCTGAAGACTTGATATGGAGAAAGCATGTTGTGAACAGGCTGCCTTGGAGTTCGGCCCATTATTTGTCTTTGTCTACACGACGAAACTGTTAATCTTTTTTAAGTCACTTAAACCCTCATCACACTCAAACACGATCTTACCACGTTCTAAACAACCCGGGAGAGTGGCGAGTCGTAGTGAGAACTTGTACATCAAGAACTCAGTGTGAATCGATAGCAATGTGGTTGGGTCTTCATGGACGGTGAGGTCATGCCAAAATTTTGAGTAGGCCTATGCCCCAAATGGCAGCATATTGACAACCTACCGAAGACGGCATACATTTAGTCTTAGCGTATCAACATTCTTGGAGGATCTTTATAGGCGTGATACAAGCGCAGCTATATCGGGAAGAATTTTATGCCGTTTCTACCAGAGAACTGCTGGGGGTACAGTGTTTCAGCCATTGTAAATAGGAAATGCTCAGAAAGAGTGATGGCTGCTCGCTACAAGCGTGGCGCACACGTGACACACGCAGCAACAACATATTACCATCGTACCGTAATGTTTTAGGTCATAGAACAATCGTATCGAAGTTTTTTACATGGTTGAACGATCCTATTGCATCTAAGCAGAGTCGGGACTCACGTTCCCTTTAATCGTGCCGAGAACGTAATGCGAACTTCAGACTAACCGGCAGCGCATTAACAAGCGTGATCTTGAAAGAACAATTTACCCGCCCAATTTTCCTAGTTTGATCCAGTCCTTGCCATGTTGTAATGAAATTTTAAACGTAGCGACGTCTTCCTGGTCGTCGTCAGAGTGTGATGGCGCATCAAACAAAGAGGGAAATTTGCGAAATTCTGACACTGTCACTTTAAGGAAAGCGAGTGATGGCGTCTGATTTCCCTCGATGATATATACATTGGCCGCCCGCTCACGCAATGTGAGTATTTCTAATGATACTTAAGCCGGACCGGACGGAGTTGTTCCCACATGCATGGGCACGTGCGTACTTATCCGTGTGGACTAACGCATCTGACATGTGTTGGGAACGAGGTTCCAGTTACACCTCTCATCCACTCACGTACGTGAGCACTGTCCAACCTAGAGTGATTCAGCAACACGTTGTGCAGATCACTTGCAGTGATTTTTTTACCCAAACGAATTCACACTATCATACCATGGAGGAGGAATCGTTTTTAATGTTTTCATCATTAAGACAGGTCTGGGGGAGTTGATAGATCGAATGTATTGGTGGCCACAGACGGTGTTTGGTTTTGAAAACCATGATTCTTCCGTTGACCTTCTTCTTGTACTGTCCTGAAATAAACCTCGTTCTAACAATTACTGCAGCTGCCATTTTCCCCCAAAAGCCTTGGTCTTATCTCTGATTTTAGACAATTACCAATAGATACTGGAAGCACAGTTCCACTTTTTTCCATTGAATGACAAGAACACGACAGAAAATGCTTCGATTTGACTCCCAATAAGACACACCGTCTGCTTATATCCCCTACCTGTATTTCTCACTAGTGCTTCGCTCACCACTGACTCAGCGAGCATGGCGCCAGCCCCTAGGCCAGTAACTCTCTGCCATCAAACGCAATTTGCTTTAATTCAGATCGAGTCCTGCGTGCGATTTTCATTTTCATTATGCTGGCGGTGAGCCATAGCGCGGCTCTTTTCTAGTGCCTGTGCCGCCCGCCGGATGCGAGTAGAACTCGGGTGGAACGAAGCGAGCATGCCGCCCTGCCGCGGCTGAGCACCATGGACCGATAGCGCGCTACAATCGATAGACCGAACCTCTATCAACACACCGGTAGCTCCTCA